AAATATTTAAAATTATGTATACTTGTTTTAAAGGGATAGTTGAATTTTGTTGCAGAGGGCGCTACACAAAATATTTGTTGTGAGATTATGAAAAACTGATTGTCAAATTTGAAGAAAAAAACAAACAATTTAAATGACGACAAAATCTTCTTTGTTTGATCAAAATCGGTTCAGAGACGACTGCCATATCCATAAATATAACCATTTCTATAATACTTGTGGGGCACCACAAATATTCGATAATTTTGAGCCTGCCGTTGACAAAACAAGATGGCGCCTTACACGTTTTATTCCAGCTAATGCTAATGTTGGCTTTTTGTTGGCTTTTTCGTGTTGGTTATAATACGCACAACCAGCCGGCCCGTGTATTGTAATCATAAGAATAAGAGGAATATCCATGCACTTTGAAAGCCTTTGTAGTCTTGAACAAGAACTCAACTATCCCTTTAAATGATATTTGAGTTATTTCTTGATTACTAAAATTATATAAGTGAGGAATTTATTCCAAGTATGGTAATTATGACGACCACGACAAATGCGGGGTCACTATTTTAATCATCAGGTGATAATATTATGATAATCTCAGAAAGGGAGAGATAGAAATAGAGAGTAAAAGAGACTCGTAGTCAAGTATGCGGATTTGAGAATGGCGCCATCTAGAGGCCGAGCTGAACTCCTTGAACTATCCCCATTCCTTTACCCCCCGTTTCTCTATAGTTCTTGGATGTCCGCCTCTATTCCCCCTCTCTCCTTCTTCCACCCCACCTCTCCCCTCTACTCTCCACGCCCATATTTCCTTCTCAGTAATTCCTTCAATGTTCTGCTTCGGTGTCTTCACTTTTCTCTTCCAATTATTATCTCTCAGCTATGATAATTCCCACACCCTGATTTTCCTCTACTTCTTCGTTGTTTCATCCCATCATTATGCTTACTCTGTTATTCATTCTCAATAATAATAATATTTAGCTTTTATATAGCGCTTAATACAGTGTCTCTAAGCGCTTTACTAATACACTTTTACCCCGTTCTCATCGTTCTTCGTCCCAATTCTCTGTTTTTCCTCTACTCCTCTGCTCTTTCGCTCCTTTCCTTCTTTCCTCCCTTTCCCTTTTACATCTCCCTCTCCGCCTTTCTTGTTATCCTTCTACAATTTTCTATTTTTCTCTTATGTCCTTTGTTTGATTTTGTCTATCTTCCTCTCCTATGGCACCTTACTCCATTTTCATGATCCCCTGTTATCCCCATTTCAGTCTTCATTTTACCTCAGCCTACCTGTCGTTCCTTCTCCTCTGTTTATCTCTCTCAATCTCCAGCCCGAACTCTCCCTTAATTTGTTTATACATCTATTTATCAAGTTATATTATCTAGCATTTACCTATCTTTCTATATACCCATATGTCTAAAGGCGAAACTTGTTATGTTCAATAACCTTATAAGAATAATAATGCATCTTCAAAGATTAGGTGTCAAAATGTGCTAGGCGTTATGATGTTAACATGTTATCTCTCTATTCATTCATTCGAAAAATTTGAAAAATTTAAGGGAAAAAAAAGTCATAACATTTAAAATATCTTTATAGCCACTGCAATTTTAAAGGATTGTTCTTCATTTAATGATTACAATAGTTGATACTCATGGACCTTCGAACAGATTCACATACTTTTGTTATCATCAAAGTGCCTACTTATATCAGTCATTTCGATTGACGATACTGTTCTATAAACGGAAACTGTTTGTCAATCGTTCTCTTAAATTTGTATTTGATTTTGTGCCAACTGTGTAGTCATCAGCATATTACTCCACGTGGGATGACCATGAACTTACGTGTCTCGTGAGTGCAGTGGATGACAGATATTGGAGACCCAGGGAATTGGAATAACATGACGCTGTGACGTATTTATTTTCATTTATTGCACTTTGCATTTGTTGATTTGGTGAAAATACCTGTGCTCAGAGGAATTCGCTGTCTCTTTATAAATTAATAGAGAATTTACAACATGGTTCAAATTTCGTGATTTTACTATATCGCGATTGCAAGTTACCCGGGAACTGACGCTATGACTTTTGTTAGTAGGCCTACTACCATAACATTGGGATGTAAGTAAAATAAAGACATTTGAGCCAAAGCGTGAATGTGCATGATGATCAAGAGATATATATATATATATATGTATACATATGTAGTAGGTGCCCACGAATCCCCGTGTTACCTGGATACTAACGCCATTTAGTTTGTCAAGTTCCGCCTTAACATGACGATGCTGGTAAAATTCTGGATGTTTGGACCGTGTTGTGAGAAAAGTCCTATAAAGAGGAAAAAACGCGAAATCTGTTTCAAATATCAGTGTAATTGAGGCGCGTTTATAAACATTTTCATTTTCTTTTCTTTTTTACATGATTTATAACATAGTGTGATACAGAAAACTTTCATCGGTTGGGGATAATCATGTAATGTATTGTTTAAAGGGATAGTTGAGTTCTTGTTTCAGACTGCAAATGCCTTCAAAGTCCCATTGCTCTTATTCTTATTTATGACATTTCTAGTGCCCTATTTGAACCTAAAATTTCTATGAAGGTAATTTTAGACCCCAAAATGTGTGAAATTTAGCTGATACGATCATACCAATTCAGCTCTACTTAAAAAAAAATACGGTGACCGTTAATGAATGAATGAATTAATAATAACAATACATGGGCCGGCTGGTTGTGCGTATTATGACCAACATGAAAAAGCCAACATCGGCATTGGCTGGAATAAAACGTATAATGCGCTATTTCGTTTTTTCAACGTCTGGTTCAAATTATCTAATACTTGTGGTGGTAAAGAAATATTAGAAATGGTTATATTCATGGATATTTCAGCCGCCTCTGATCCGATTTTGTCATCTAAATTGTATTTTCTTTCAAATTTGACACTCAGTTTTTCATTATCTCACACAAAAAATATTTTGTGAAGGGCCCTCTGCATCAGAACTCAACTATCCTTTTAAAACTTCTTCCAACCTTACATTATTTTGAGAGCAAGCTTTCGTCCACTCCAGTGGACTGCTTCAACCCAAGACATAGTGATCAGTCACACGTTTTATTAGTGCTGCCTGTTGTCTTTCGATCACTGGACCAAAGATATATAGGTGACAATAGTCAATAGGTATCCAGAGTCCCTGTTTAGTGTAGGATTAATCCTCTTAAACCATATTGACTCTTTCACCTTTCTTGACCAGAAGTTGCTTTCAAAGTCAATAATTAGAGCATCATCCCATCTATCTTTTGTGTTCTTTTAATCGCTCATTAAGAGTTCTGCCAGTTCCTCAACATAAGAATTGTTACAATCTATGCAGGTAATCTTGTACACAATGCCTGTCTTTTCATCTCTTGGAATTTGGTCTTTTGGATGGACCAACCTACTTCTTACTTTCTTAGTGTGTTTAAGGGCTTCTAAAGGCAACACGAATATCCTTGTCTTGGAATGCTCGTTACACGAGAGAGGATATGTTTTAACAAAAGGAAGGACTACATCTGTTAAGAGCTCAAAGTAATACCTCGGACAATGATGCACTACAGAGTAAATTCCAACATAATTTATTGACAAGGCGCTAATGCCATGTGGATACCCAGCATGGATGAGACAAACAACAAAGGACAGAATAAGATCTAAGACCCCCCCCCTCCCCCAAGGAAAAGAAAGAAGTTAATAACAGTAGTCCTTCCTTCTGTTAACACTATATCCTCTCCCTTGAAACGAGCATTCTAAGACTAGTGTTGCCTTCAGAAGCCCTAACACACTATAGAGGTATGTTGGTCCACCCAAAAGACCACAATTAAGAGAAGAAAAGACAGGCATTATGTACAATATTACTTGCACAGATTGTAACAATTCTTATGTTGGGGAACTGGCAGAACTCTTAATGAGCGATTACAAGAACACAAAAGATGGATGGGATGATGCCCTAATTAGTGACTTTGAAAGCAACTTCTGGTAAAGAAAGGTGAAAGTGTCAGGGTTAAGAGGATTAATCCTACACTAAAAAGGGACTCTGGACACCTATTGTCACTGATCACTTGGCCTGACAAAGTCCTCAGGAGTGGACGAAAGCCTGCCTACAACATTCAAGGTTGGTAGAAGATTAAAACATTACATGATATAACATATGTATTTTTATTTTTTCTTCTTCATATTGGTGCAAATTACATTAAGACCTTGAACTAATGTTTGCTCAAGATTTTGTCAGATTAGTTTAACACTTGTTAACTGAGGGTGGAAAAAATCGAAAAGGAATGAATTATAATAGTTCAAGAAGGTTAGAAAATAAAATAACTGACTCCTCTCCTGAATCGGCATGTACCCTATAGAATAACTGCATTCGAAGTAATAGTATGAAGTCACGATTACGCATGCAAGAAACCATGTGCGATGACAGTTTACATTTTGCACATGATCAAGTAAATTGAGAGAGAGAGAGAGAGAGAGAGAGAGAGAGAGAGAGAGAGAGAGGGAGAATGGGAAGAAGGAAGAGAGTGGGGGAGACTCACATCTTCCTTAAATGCTAACTTCATTGGAGGAGCTTGCGCCTTTGAATGTTTTTTTAAACAGATATATGGCGCCATAGAAATGCTGTGAATCATCATCATGATCAGTCTGTATGTGCGCGCGTGTGCTTGTGTGTGTGCGTGTGTGTGTGTGTGTGTGAGGGGGGTGTGTGTGCGTGAGAGAGAGAGAGAGAGGGAGAAAGAGAGAGAGAGAGAGAGAGAGAGAGAGAGAGAAGGGAGAGAGGGGGAGGGGTGATGGGAGAAGAAAGAGAAAGGGATATAGCGAGGTGACGGTTGAAATTGTGTTTGGATGGGTATATAATAGCTAAATATCATAATTAATATCATTATACATAAACATCACGATTAGGTAATGATTGTAATTTCACAATAGTTTGAGCAATCGGCAAGGAACTTCGTGTCACGAGTGGCATTCAATAAATCTGTCGAAACACTTAATCCAATATTAAATTGACCTGTACGCTTTATTTGATTTGAATTACCACCGTCTCTTTCACCTTTTGTTGATCATCCGACCGCGCAGCATCCATGCCTGCAGCTAAGCGCGCGCACTCTCCTCAAATATACCACGTTCAAGATGTAAAGAAGATTGATTGCAGAAGAAGTTGAGATATACCGTAGTACTAATTTAGCTCAACCCATAGGCCGGCGGTATAATAAGTACGCATTTTGGGACGCATATCATCATTTCTCATTGGTCGCATGAAGTCTTTCATCGAGCCATATGTGTTACAACTCTCCAATCAAGGGACTAGCGAACGACTATTTCCGAAATCCTGAATACCTCGATATTTCGTTCAGAATACAGATTCAGCGGTTTTCATGTGGCTTCGAATGGAAATACTACAACTTGAGTCTTTAATGATATCTGAATAAATCTTCTTTGGACTTGACGTTTGGAGGCATGACGAGTGGTTGACATTTGATAACGGATATCTTCATCAAAGTCGTAATTCACTCAAATCATTGCAACACTTCAACTCATCTACTCGTGTCGAAACAAATTAACTTTTGGGACATTTTACGTCAAAATTGAGACAAAGTCAGCGGAAAATGCATTGCGAAATGACATTTGAAGCTGTATCGTCACTTCTTTCGCATTAATTTTATAGTTACTCCCAGGAATTACATATTTGATTTCGTACAATTTGTGCTTTCATTGTTAGCAGTCTAATCCTATTTGGAATTGATCAGTGGTTTCTTCTGCAGAATTAAAAGCGTATAACCCATTACCTCACGCGGATTTGCTCTGGCTAGCAATTAATTTCACGATTTCGTACCTCAATGCTGGAACTAGTCAACTCAACACGTTATGATTATTTGTGGACAATCTGATATCATTTCCCAAGTCTGAATGAACAAAGGGATAATTTCACTTCAAGCCCATTCTTTAGCCAATTTCATTGAATTATATTAGTTGGAGGAACATGAGTCAATATAACCTTTCACGCTTTGATGAATACTTTACATGTTATATTGATTTGTGAGTGATCAAAGACCAAAAAAGTTTAGTTACATAATAAATAAAAAAAACTAAAAGTGCATAACATCCTTACAAAATTGATTTAAACAAGTCTCCTCAATAATATATCAGCTTATGTTTCAAGATGGTTTGATTTTTGCGGTTCGTATTGACCTACTGTACTGTCTGGTTAACGTTGTGTTGCAGCCTGGTACATGTTTATACCGAACGAACAAGGAAGTAGAAAGGCGAATGATGATAATCTAAACTACAACATGAAATAATTATTGAAAACCTTCTCGACGTGGCCTTGATTTCGAAAAGACACCCAAAACAATTGTTTTAACGAGCACGAAAAATATGAGCAATACGATTGTTACAATTCACTGTGGATAACCCCACATGCAATTTAATACGAATGGATCGTTTTGAAGTGATATTTGTAATTAATAGCGGTTTTCAGCCCTTTAAAAGCTAGAGAAACAAGCGAAGACAGGGCATCCTATAGTTGTGTCTTATAAGGACAATCGTTCCATGATTTTGTCGTCATGCATCTGCGTGGAACCCATAGCGATCGCTTGACTTTACTCAGAGTACTTTGTCTTGTTCCCAAGGTGACTGAACGAAAAAAAGATTCCATCTTTTTCCATTTCGCAGAGGGGTAGAAATCACAAGTCATGAACTATCAACCTGTACGGGTCTTTTCTTTCCAGAGAGTTGTCATGAGTCATGGCTAGAATAAGAGAATGGTTTGATGTCAATATTGGGTGGGTATAAATACCTGGCATTGAGTGATTATTGAACACTAAGGGACTGGACGTGTCATACATGCTGGCCATGTATTTGACACCATGCTGATCTCTATCGTCAGACAGGTGTAACCATAGTCTCCAATGTGCATGAACATGAGACCAGAGATGGAGCTAGTTTCTCCTATTTTGAGAACTGTTTTACTACTTTACGCTTTTAACACGATTGATAATAGTTTAGGGATTGAGATCATCGTGAAGGGTTTGAGCAGCAATTATTTTGAAACCACCATCGTGCCTGTGATCGACATCGCCGTCGAGCGTATACATACCATGGTCGAGCAGGGAAAGTACATGAACTTTTCCATCGTGTTTCATCATTACAGTTATACATGTGAGCATGTGTACCCGTCGCTGGGGGCATCCCTCGCAGCCAAGTATTACCACACCAAAAAAGTGGCCGCCTTCATGGGGCCAACTTGCAACTCTGCCATGGAAAACGTGGCCATTTTGTGTGCCGCATGGAACTTACCGGTCCTCTCGGGCATGTCGCCTGGTTTCATGCTTGGGGATAAGGACAAATTTCACACTCTGACGCGTACATCCTCGCTGGCCGAACACTTCGCGAGAGCTGTGGAAGCCGCCATGCACTACTTCAACTGGCACATGATCATCTGGATCAACCAATCAGAAGAAGGCTACTTCGGAGCTATTACAGAAGGGCTCAGGGATCATCATGCCGAGCTGTTCAAGGAAGGTTTTGATTTTGTGGAAATTAAAAGTTGGGAGTTTGATGACACAAAAGACATTCTAGTACATGCTATGACCAAGGGAAGGGGTAAGTAATGTAGTCAACATTACAATAATGTGCAAAACATGAATGATTTGAACAAAGTTAATATTATTATGGTTTCTAGACATTATAACAAGTTTGGGAATCTTCTGCATAATAATACACTGCACATTCAGAATCACTTTCCTTTAGATCATTCATCCCCCAACCCTCCTTCAAATTAGGTTTCATGCATAGTATGGTATACGTCATGCCTCACAGTAAGACAAACATGAATGGTCGTTAAATCATGGTGCCTAAAATAGTTGATTATCACATTAGGAAACAAATCATTGCTTCTTCCTCCGTAGAAATGGTAATATATATATTACACTGTATCAGTTCCTCCCCACTTATTCGGTGTTTTTTTTAGATCTTGTATAGTAATGGTTATGACAAGACATAGTTTCAAAGAAATTCTCCTCTGTCGTCGGTTAGAAGATAACAGAGAAATCCGGAAAATCTGAAAACACATTCGGAAAAAATAGTCGTACCACTTTCATCACTTGAGAGGAATATTGCACTCTTTGTTTTCCTAGATTAAATCTAGGTGCGGACTGATTTTCCTTCCGAGGCCCCAGTAATGTAATACTTGAAGAAATTCTACTGCCGCATCTCTCCTCTCCTATCATCTTAGCCCAACTAAAAAACGCACTTTCTTCAATTCCATATTGAATCCCACTTCTCCATTTACTTCTGTTTCAATCGACCGCGCTAATTCACAGTCCCTAGCTTCTATTCCTCTAATTCAACCATTGTACTGTAACTTGTCCTTCTTTGCATTTCATTGTCACTTAGTTGGTCTGACATTTTAGCGTTGTAATATGATGATTGGAAAGGCATGAGAGTCTATAGCACATCGTATAAAGACGCACGAACTTGAAAATGAATCGACTATTATATGTTGCAATGTTTATCGAGAATTTTTGTATCTCTATTCGTACCTCTATTCTTAGTTTGCTCCGTAGGAAATATTTTATTGCTAGTAGATATTCGTAGCTAATGCATAATTGCCATTAGTGATCGTGTTAGTTGAGCAAACCCTCCCTCGTACTAATCGATGGACATTGAAATAATTGTATTAACCATTGTGAAACATTTTATCAAGGATATATGCTTATCCAGTCACATCAAAGACTTAATGCCATGCTGACTGATTGAGAATTACATTTTCCTAAAAATCAAATATGATTATGAAAATTTGTGTTCTCTCTCTCTCTCTATCTCTCTCCTTCAGGTATATTCTTTTTATAATATTGTATGTTGGGAAGGCGATGTATGAAGAACGGCATCACTTAAAGCTTTGCTGTTACCATGAAAACGATCCGTTTATGATGTTTCCGTTGCAATTGCATAAAGGCAGTTTTCCCTTGCTTGTCATTAGTTTGTATGCCGGGAAGAGGGGGCGGGGGGGATTGAGATTGTATTCTTTGCCTAAAAAACAGCTTATATCCTTGAATATTAATTATGTTATTGTTCGGAACTTTTGGAACAAACATCTAAACATGCACACCGCTGTTATTTGAACATTTCGCCCGATTTTGATTTCAAGAAATACTCGCTGAACAAAAAAATGCCACACTCACCATCAAAACATCATCGAATATTTAACCTTAATTAAACCAAAACATTACTTATCAAAGTAATATACCCGAGGCCAGACTGTTGTAATTCCAACTTTCATCACAACCATGGTGTTGTAATGAATCCACTGGTATGTTGCTTGGGACGAGAGGTAAAAATAGAGAGATTCCTGTCCATCTACAGCGACTACTCAACTAAATTCTCACTTTTGGGATGAGGGTACCTTTAGAATTCTGTTCCTTGCCCTCTGCTGAAAACATAATAAACACAATTCAGCTGATCTGCTTTTTTCACCAATAGCGTGATCTTATAGTAAATTATGGGTTCATGACATTTTAGAAAGATTTTTGAAAATAACTCGATAAATTATATTCAATATTCGCCTCTCTCTTGATTTCGAGATCGGGCCAATTGTCTCATTCCAAAATGTAATGATAGGTCTTCCCCCCCCCTCTCTCTCTCTCTCTCTCTCTCTCTCTTTCTCTCTCTCTCTGAGGTTCACGCACAAGAGTCATCTTTAGTTCTTTCTTTATTTATCTCTATATCTTGTCATATAATCTGTCACTATTAAGTCTGACACCATTCCGATTATTATACCTCTTCCACGTTTACAATCCATCTTCCCTTCCAAGGTGTACCTGGCAGGATTATTGTTGATAATTACACAACATCATTAAAAGGATCATTATAATTTTATGAATACATATCAAAGTATAGTGATCATGGTCGAGCACTTAGCTTGATTATGTTTACAAGCGCGTTTGGTATGAAATGAATTTTACCCCAATAATTTGATTGTGCTTGATTGAACTCGTGCAAGCACAATCAAATATGTAAACATTTCATTCAGTCTCTCATTCAATTAGCTAATTCGGGTATTTCATCGATATTTAAAAACGTGTTTTACCTCCGCCTCCACTCAGGTGTTATAGGAGGGGTGAGGGGTGTTACATGCCCTCCTATATTTGTTAATAATTTTTCTTGCTATTATCTTTTTTTCATTGAGTGAATAACGTTAAATGTTTCCCTTCAACAGCCTTATTTCTTGTCAGTTTGATGATGAAACTATAAATGACAATATTAACAACTACTTCAATATCAAAATATAGTGACGATGGTTGAGCAATTATCTTAATTATGTTAACGAGCTCGCTGGAAATGAGATGTTGTTGACCTCAACTTGAACTTAAGCAAAAATTGGAAATATTGATATTTTAACGAGTCATTTAAATACTCATTCAGAAATTTGTATGTGTAGTAAAACAAAATAATACAAAATTCAGAAAAAAACTTAGCTGTTTTAATGGAACCTTTTTTCCTTAACGCTTGTCGGCAAGATTATTGAAATCTGGACAGTTCTGTTAAATTTTAGCAAACGTAGCTACAAATTTGGTTTGATTACCCCCTCTCTCATGAAAAGTTCCAGAGACGTCCCTCCCTTTATTAATGAAAGGCATTGTTCAACTAGGCATTGCTTCAACGAAAGTTATCAACATATGTGTAGATAACAATATCGCGTCTACCCTTTTAGTATGGTTGAAACCGGGCCAGCCCCCCCCCCCCCCCCCACTCCGGGGTCGGAATGATCGCATGCGTGTTACCAAAATGTCCGGTAAAGGGGTACTTTTCACGCACCAAAGTCCGGCTCGTACATACACAAGATTGACTTTACACACCGGACTTAGGGGGTGTTTTCAAAAGGAGGGAACACGCATATGCGTACCCTAAATAACACTGAGTGGGGGGGGGGGGGGGGGGTTGAAACGATAAAGCCATCATAATGTCGACGGACCATTATGTTTTCGTTTGAGGGGAGGGTAATATGTTACTGCTGCTTATATGAGTATCACCGAGCCATAAACATTCACTCTCAATAAATTATGAAGACACTGTGCAGCCATGCATCTGCCATTGGAATAAAACTAATCGGAAAATGCATGCAACACTTACAGGCTGAATTTCATGCATTTATTCGTTTTAAATCTCCCTTTAACGTCTGATATAATGTATACAGGCCCTCCCATCTCCCTGATGTATATGCAATATGGATATTTTTTGAAAAAATGGGACTCATAATTGCAATTCAATGGCATTTAAATTCATCTTTAATTGTTAAAGAAATATGATAGTGAATATATTCCTGCTTTTCAATATTTTTAGCACCCTGATACCATTTGATAAGGTACCTTACTCGGGTATACATATTTATATCATTCTTTCCTATAACACCATTTTACTGTGCAAGATTATACAGATTCCATTGAGCCATAGATCCAATGAATAAGTGTAATTTTGATGACACCGCAAATAACTGCCACTATACTGTCTGCACACACCGTTACTATCGTGTTAAATGCTACTTGGATATTGAGCGTGGATAAGGTCGATATATTCATGTATGGTCCTTAAGGAGAAAACTGAGATGTAAGTTCAGGTGAAGAAAAATTTGTGAGCTTTCACATGCGTTTGTATTCCCCATGTGGGAGATTATAGCATTGAACGAAAAAGGTTTGCTTTCGAAATGTCCTCATAATAAATCCATAGCTTTGGAGCACGTTTTCATATAATGCGTGTGACCGGGTGTGTTGTGTTACATGTATGTACCCATACATATTTGTAGAACCTTTCATTTTATGTGATTTTCAGCAAGGTTAAAAAAGGCACTTTCTTATTTCGACCAGGGAGGTCACACCTCCCTGTTTCGACTATTATAAAACCTTACAATACACAACTATCTTTAAATACTATATAATGAACTTTTTCCAACAATTCGCGGAGACATGTGTTTTTTTGCCACAATGCAATTGATCAAATAGATCTACATTGTACATGTAGTAATTAATCTACCGATAATTAAGAAATACAACATTCCAGTACCTTTTGTTTATACTAGTAAACATGTGGCTTGAAAGTAGATAGAATAGCAGATCAGGAAGAATACACTTTTATGGTTATGAAAGGGGCAAGTACAAATTGATTACATTTTCCTCTTAACAGATTTCAGAAGTAAATATTAACGAATGAAATAAGATTTAAAGCAAATATGAATATATTCTTTTCCGTTTGTGTTTTCCAGCAATGTAATCAAGGTGAAAACAGATGAAAAGATGCTGATATTGTGATGAATGAGAACTTGACTTGACTTATGCCGTCCACGCAGGCCAGGGGCCTCGTGATGGCTTCTGTATGGTGATGGTATGCCAAGTATATCTGTCTGCTGCCAGTCTTGATGCATGCATCTATCAGTAATTGCTTTGCAGTCCTCTGAGATGCAGTCAAGCCATCTTTTGGGTGGACGGCCTCTGGGTCGATTTCCTGTGACATTTCCTTCAACGGCAATTCTGGGGTATCTTGTGGGTTTCATTCTTAGGACGTGGCCAAAATATTTGAGTCTTTTAGTGGATACTTTGTCTATTACATCT